AGTGTAATGGTCGTAACCTTCAACTTTCTGGTGACATGAATCAGTCAGCTTCTAATTTGTGATGGACAGGTTAGGGCCCATTTCTGTGTGGTATTCCATGATGGTATTTAGAATTTACTAGAGCCCTAGTGGCTCAATGAGTGACCCATTGAGCTGCAAACTGTAAGGTCAGCAGTTTGAAACCACCTACCAATCCTCTAGAGAAGGATGAGGCAGTCTGCTCCTGTAAAGATTTACAGTCTCAGAACCCCAAAGGGGTGGTTTTAATCTGTCTCATAGGGCTCCTATAAGTAGAAATGTACTCAATGGCAGTGGGTGTGACTTGATGTTTTGCGTTAGAGTCCTGGCGGCACTCTGGTTAAGGGGTTGGCTGCTAATTGCGAAGTAGGGTGTTTTGAACCCACCAGCCTCTGTGTAGGAGACAGCTGGGGCAGTCTTCGTCCCTAAAGTTTTATAGCCTGCAAAACCTTCTGGGCAGTTCCACTGTCTGTAGGTCATTATGAGTGGAATAGACTCAATGCCAGTAGAACTGATTTGGTGTTGGTTAGAGTCTATAAATAATTCAGGAATTGTTTCTTTTAAGGTGTGTCATTTTCTGTTAAAGAGGATAAGGCTATGTTCCAAACTTTCAGGAATGCTCTTTGGCGTTCTCATACAGCATGACAGTTTACACCAGGTAGTTAAAATTAAAAAAAGCATGTACCCCCCCAGCCCCCCAAACCCACTACCAGTAAGTTGATTTTGACTCAGAACGACCCTATAGGACAGAGTAGAACTGCACCCATAGGGTCTTTAAGGCTGTTCATTTTTACAGACATAGAGAGGTAGGTGGATTTGAACTGCTGACCATTCTGTTAGTAGCCAAGCACTTAACCTTTGTGGTGCCAGAGATCCTCCAAATGGGAGATCCTCTGACTCCCTTTTGTACTTACAAATTTTTTTTCTTGTAAAATTGTGGTGAATATGTAGGAACAAAACAGTTGGCATATCACCAGTGTTTACATGTTCAGTTCACTGACATGGAGTATATTTAACCCATTGTTCAACCATCACTGTTACTCATTCCCGATTTTTTTTTTGTAACAAAGGAAGAACTTTATTGCTGTGCTAGCACGTGGCTCTGTGGATTCCTATCCAAAGACTGAACCCCATTCCCAATTTTTTCCATCAACATTGACAGAAGCACTGTGTCTTTCTGTTCTCCTTGCTCCCTGATAGCCCCTAATATTCTTTGCTTCTTTTTAAAAATCATTTTATTGGGGGCTCGTACAACTCTTATAATACATCCATTCATTATGTCAAGCACATTTGTACATTTGTTGCCCTCATCATTCTCAAAACATTTGCGTTCTACTTGAGCCCTTGGTATCATCTCATTTTTTCCCCTCCTCCCTGTGCCCCCTCCTCATGAACTCTTCATAATTTATACATTATTATTATTTTGTCATGTCTTACACTGTCCAACGTATCCCTTCACCCACTTTTCTGTTGTCTGGCCCCTAGGGGACAGATCCTTGCGATGAGTTCCCCCTTTCTACCCCACCTTCCCTACCCTCTCCCGGTATCGCCATTCTCACCACTGGACCTGAAATGATCATCTGTCCTGGATTCCCTGTGTTTCTAGTTCGTATCTGTAGCAGTGTACATCCTCTGGTCTAGCCAGATTTGTAAGGTAGAATTGGGATCATGATAGTGTGGGGTGGGGGGAGCATTAAAGAAATAGAGGAAAGTTGTATGTTTCATTGTTGCTACACTGTACCTGACTGGCTCGTCTCCATCCTGCTGAACTCTTTGCTTTTTATACACTTACCTATTCTACACAATTCATGTCAGTGGGATCCTTCAAAGATCTTTTGTGTCTGACTTCATTTAGCAAAATGTTTTCAAGGTTCATCCCTATTATACTGTGTCAGAAACCTCATTTCTCTTTATTACAGCCAAATCATAGGAGTTCTTTTTAGTGCAGTATTTTAAAAAACCACATCTGTTGGTAGAGTAAACTTTGTGTGTAAAGTAAAAACTGGCATCTAACCCCCCACCTCCCACCCCAATACACACACACACACACACACACACACAATTATGGGAGTTTATTAGGGAAGTTAATAGGTTACCCCAAGTCAGGATCAGTAAACAATTACTGGTCCACAGCAACATCCTCGCTTCTGGAGTTCTCTTTTAGACATTAGAGAAAACATTTTGTGCCTAGTGTTTGTTTCTTCTAATAACTGTTTTTTTTAAAACATTTCTACAGATAAAATCATTGTAGGTAGCTTCATGGGCTACCTGAGGATCTTTAACCCTCATCCTGTGAAAACGGGAGATGGCGCGCAAGCGGAAGATTTGCTTCTCGAAGTGCAATTACGAGACCCAGTACTTCAAGTAGAAGTGGGAAAATTTGTTTCGTAAGTACATCCCACTAATCCCTCCCGTCCTTTATCTTCACTGGAGCGTTTCAGCCTTCTGATGCCACTGTGCAAAGACTGCCCATGAGTCCAACCTGTTTTCTAGATCCTTCCGCGTCGGCGTCCTTATGTGTTGGAAGCTTTTGTGTGGGAATCTGTGTGTTGCAGTCACAGGGTCCTGAGATAGCTGATGCATCAGAAGCTTCTAGGAAAAGAGACAGGCGTTTGAAAAGAAGCAAATGAAGGAAGTCTGTACTTGTCTAAATGCAAAGGGCCCGATTAGGACTGCGTAAATAAGTAGACAAAGTAGCCAATAACATTTACTTTCTTCCTCATAACCGTGATGTTTTAAAGAGATTACTTAAATAAAAATAAAGAGATTACTTATTTTTATATTTTTAATATTTTATATTCTTATATTTTCTCAAAAGAGGTCAACTCACAAAGTGTTCCCTTTATATGAGCTTTGCCTCAAAGTGCTTCAGTTTCAAACCTAGTTCATTTTAGAAAATGAACTTGGTCATTTGTATTTTGTGTATATATACATATCTATCTGCTTTTCATTTACTATTGATATTGCTGATACCTTATTTTCATATAGGAATTTTCTTCAGGTCTAGCTTGTCATTTTAATTCTTCATGAATATGAACTGCGAAAAGTTAGCTTATAGGCAGAGCTCTCTCTTGCTTTCTTCAGACTCTACTTTTTGAGGAAAGGAGCCATGGTGTCATAGTGGGCTATAACTTCGGCCTGCTAAATGCAAGGTCAGCTGTTTGAAACCCTCGGCTGCTCTGCGGGAGAAAGATGAGGCTGCCCTATAGGGTTGCTAGGGTCAGAATCAACTTGATGGCAGTGGGTTTGCTTGCGGGAGAAGGGGCTTTGATGGTGTAGTGGATTACACGTTAAGCTGCTAACCACAAGATCAGCAGTTCAAAACTGCTAGTTGCTCTGAGGGAGAAAGATGAAGTTTTCTACTCCTGTAAAGAGTTCTAGTTTCAGAAACTCACAGGTCTGCAGTTTGAGACCACAATGCGCTCTTCAGGGGAAAGATGAGTTTGTGTACTCCTGTAAAGATTCGAAGTCTCCAGAAACCCAGAGGGCAGTTCCATTCTGCCTTCCCGGAGTGCCATGAGTTGAAATCGACTGGAGTTTGACCTTGTTTGTTTGCAGGAAGGTCCCTCGGGGGTGGACCTGGCTTGTGCTCTACTAATAATCTAAGCTTTAGATTCTAAGGGTTGGCGGTTTGACCCCACTCAGTGACAACACAGAAGAAAGCCCTAATGATCTGCCCCATGAAGATTTCCCGAAGGAAACCCCATGGAGCAGTTCCGCTGTCTCCATTCCAGGTCGCTGTGAGTCGGAACTGACTCATAGCAACAGTCTGGCTTCACTCTTGGTCTGCAGGCAGTAAGGCTCCTCTGAGAGGGGCCCTCATGGCACAGAGGTTATGTGTTGGGCTATTAACTACAAGGTCACCTGTTTGAACCTGCTGGCTGCTCCTCAGGAGACAGATGAGGCTTTCTACTCCTGTAAAGAGATACAGCCTTGGAAACCCACAGTAGGGTCTCTGTGAGTCAGAATCGACTCAGTGGCAGTGAGTTTTAAGCACCCTCTGAAGTTGGGGCGGTGCCTTGTGTGCTAGATTTGGGCTCACTCCATATGCCTTTCTTAACTTACTGTGTCTGTAAGGGTAAACTTTGAGAGCCCTGTGTCTGGGCTCAAATATAAACAATTGTGAGGATGTTGCATCACCCGGCAGTGTTTCGTTCTGTTGTGCATAGGGTCACTGGGAGCTGACTTGACAGTTCCGACAACCAACAACAACAACAACAGCAAGAAGCCTTCTGCATGAAAACTGAACAGCAGTTCTTGGGTGTTACCTCTCTTCATTCTGATGGGCAGTTGAAGCTACAGTCTGGGTATATAAGGGCATGGGCCGGATGGAGGAGAATTTTATGACTGATGGGATTAGGAGAAATCGACTTCAACTGAAAGCAGATGACTAGGTGCCCCTGGTATCACTAGCACATTAGGCATGATGGATTTCTCAAGTCAGGACACAGAAGGCTCCCTGCCTCTGAACAGCACTTTGACATTTCCGTTTCTGAAATGAAGAATGCCGTCACAGTCATTCTGGGCACCAGTTCCAAGGATGCCTCTCAGCTTTCAGATCACGAGTTAGAAGGGGAACAGGTTAACACGAATGAGTGGATACTCTTGGAGATCCTTTGTAAAGATCATCTCACTAATTGGAACTATTTGGCTGATGTGACCTGCACTTAGGTACAAAGAAACTGGAGCTCTGAGCATTAGGCCACACAGCCAGGATCCAGATGTAGATCTGCTTAATGCCACACTACACTCCTTTCTTATTGGAAGAAAGTTCTTTTGAGGATCCAGGGCATATACCAAATTTCTTTTTGAAGGCAACATAAAGAAGTATGACAGTTGTACATGTTTGTATTTTCTGATGACGTATATATCCATTGTAGCAGTGCTTTGCAGGTGTTTAACATTGCAGATATTATCTAACTTGATTCTTATTTTGCAAATAAGAAAATAATACTTGGAAAGAACAAAGGAAGCAGCAAGAGGGCTCGAATCCAGAGCTCTAGGCTTCAATCACAGCCCCGTTCGTTTAGATTTGTTTCCTAGTTGCTCAGGGGCCTTGTAGAAGTGGACTAAATCTCAAATAGAAGCAAACTACCGGTGGCTGGCCCACATCTGACCTCCTCTGGCTGTCCTGTGGCTCTAAGGCAGAGGCCAGACATGTTTCCACCCTCCACCTTTCTCCACCTTCCCTGACACCAGCTGTACCTCCCGTGGCACTCTACTTCTCTGCTGGTTTCAGTAATTCATTGCAAGGGCTCAGAACTCACGAAGCTCAGAACTCAGAACTCACGAAATGGCTCACGTGATGGTAGGTGTCATTAAGTCCCCAAATCCAAAGTTCATCCCTCTGTCTGGAAGATCTTCTCATCCAGAAGGCTGCAGAAGTTGGTGAAATCAGGGCAGGTACTAGACCACAACTCAAGTCCCAAGAGCCCAAGGTCAGACAGAGGCAAGCCAGGTGCAAGGTGTGGAGCCAGAACCCAAAAGTGTCTGAAAGTCAAAGCAAGGCTTCTTGATCCTACCAATGCTCACCCAAGGCATCCACAAAGGGAGGCTTTAATAGGGGTGCGGTTTTGCATTTTAGCAGTCCATACCTCCAAGCAAACAAGGTGGAGACTTGAGTTACGTCTTCTGCTAAGGTAGAAACCCAGAACCCATCCTACCTGAGTTCTGTAACAGAGGGCTCCCGCCAAAATGGGATTATAACCACAGCCATAGAGGCTTCACTTTACATTACATCACAAATTGGGATTCTGGGCTGTTGTGGTTGTTAGTTGCCATAGAGTTGATTCCCACCCATAGTGACCCCATGTACAACAGGACTGAACACTGCCCGGTCCTGCGCCATCCTTACAGTTGTTTCTATGCCTGAGCCCATTGTTGTAGCCACAGTGTCAGTCCCCCTCCCTGAGGGCCTTCCTCTTTTTTGCTGCCCTCTACCACCTAAGATGATGTCCTTTTCCAGGGTCTAGTCTCCCCTGACAACATGTCCAAAGTATGTAAGACTAAGTCTTGCCATCCTTGCCTCTAAGGAGCACTGTGGCCCTACTTCTTACCAAACAGAGCAGTTTGTCCTTTTAGCAGTCCATGATACTTTCGTTATTCTTCTCCAGCACTACAAGTCAAATGCATAGATTCTTCTTCGGTCTTCTTTATTCAGTGTCCAACTCTCACATGCATATGAGGCAATGGAAAATACCATGATTTGGATCAGGAGCACCTTAGTCCTCAAAGTAGCAGTGTAGCTTTTCAGTGTTCTAAAGAGGTCTTGTGCAGCAGATTAATGTAATAAGTCTTCTGATCTCTTGACTGCTGCTTCTGTGAGCATTGATTGTGGATCCAAGCAAGACAATCTTTAACACCTTTAACCTTTTCTCCATTTATCATGGCGTTACATACTGGTCCAGTTGTGCGGATTTTGGTCTCTTTCACATTGAGTTGTAATCCATACCAAAGGCTGCAATCCTTGATCTTTATCAGCAGATGCTTAATGTCCTCCTCACTTTCAGCAACCAAGGTCACATTTGCATATTTTAGGTTGTTAGCCTTGTTCCAATCCTGATGTTACATTCTTGTTCACATAATCCAGCTTCTCCGATTACTTGTATAGCATGTAGATTGAATAAGTATGATGAGAGGATACAACCTTGTCACACACCTTCCCTGATTTTAAACCATGCAGCATTCCCCTGTTCTGTTCACCCATTTACCTTTTGATCCATATACAAGTGCCACAGGAGCACAGTGAAGTGTTCTGGAATTCCCATTCTGCTCCAGGCCATCCATATTTTGTTGTGATCCACAGTCATACACCTTGGCATAACAATAACACAAGAAAATATCTTTCTGGTATTCTTTACTTTCAGCCAAGTTCCATCTGATGTCAGCAATATCCCATGTTTTGTGCCCACTTCTGAATCAGGCCTGGACCTCAATGTATTGCTGCAACCTTTGTTGGATGACCTTAAGCAAAATTTTACTGGCATGTGATATCTGTGATCTTTTTCTATAGTTTGAGCATTCTGTTGGGTCACCTTTCCTTGGAATGGGTACAGATATCAATCTCTTTCAGTCAGTTGGCCAAGTAGCTGCCTTCCACATTTCTTGTCACAGATGAATGTGTGCTCCCAGTGCTTTCTTAGTGTTTGAAACATTTCAATAGGTCTTCCACCGATTCCTGGAGTCTTGTCCTTGGCCAGTGCCTTCAGTGCAGCATGACCTTCTTCCTTCAGCACCATTGGTTCTTACTCATATGCTACCTCCTGAAATGGTGGAATGTCCACTAGTTCTTTTTGGTACAGTGACTCTGTGTATTCTCTTGATGCTTCCTGCATCATTCAATATTTTGCCCATAGAGTCTTTCAAGATTGTTGCTATAAGGGCCATATCAATGTACTATATATTGCAACCATCACAAGAAGCCTGGGTCGGGTAGTGGTTACATGTTGAGCTGCTAACCTTCAGTTCAGCAGTTCAAAACCAACAGCCACTCAATGGGAGGAAGAGGAGGCTTTTCTACTCCTGTAAAGAGTGGGAGTCTTGAAACCCACAGGGACAGTTCTACCCTGTCAAATAGGGTCACTATGAGTTGGAATTAACCGGATGCCGGTGACTTTTTATTGTGCATATCAGTATCACCACTACACCCCCAGACCCAACCATTAGTTTCTAGAGGCAGCAGCCTGGTAAGATCTCAAAATCCCAGATTCATTGTCTTCAAGTATCCTGCAGGTAGATGTGAACGACTAAAATCTATAAATGACTGTGGCCAACTGAAGACCCTGGCCAGACTGAAGGAGGTGGCTCCTACTCAATTCTGGGCTTGTACCCAGATCTCTACATTGTTCAAAAAAGAAAAGCTAGAGAACAAGGATTTTTTATGGGAAGTTTCCTGGCACTTAAATTCTGGCAGACCTTTTAAATTTTGAGACTTTTTGTTTTCCAGAGGGGAAACAGGCTCAGAGAGATTAAGTGTCTTGCCCAGGGTCACAGGTTAGTTAACTAGAGGGCCAGGAGAAGCCCTGAGATGTCTTTATTGTGGGGCGCAGGCGTGAAGGGGCTTCTGAGAGGACTTCCCAGCAGGCTCCATTGCTTTCCAGCCTAAGGCAGCTCTTTGAGGTCAAGTGTTGTTTGAGGCTCGAGGATTACCAAACTGACTGTGGGTTTGTTGTTATGTCTTTTAAAATTCAGAATGTAACCTTTTGAATTGTCGCTGAAGGTAAAATCTTTCTAAAAAAATATTCATACCGTTTCAGTTGTTATATCTGAAGCTAACATACTACTTTAATAAGAAACTAATAAAAACTTTTAAAATGTTTCTGCGTTTTTCAGAGGTACTGAAATGCTTCATTTGGCTGTTTTGCATTCTAGAAAACTTTGTGTCTACTTTGTCTCAGGTAAGAAATAATTTTTTCCCCTAATATAGAAACCCTGTCAGAAAATGGACTCCTGAATATTAATCAAGAGTGAATATTCTATATTGTTGATTGTGAACACAGATTTCCTTGTTCTGGGATAGCATTTACCATTCATTTATTCATTTTTTTCCAGATACTCCTGCTATTAATTTTTCTGGGTTTGCTATTTCAGTGCATGCTTATATTTCTGGTAGAAAATTCCTTATAATTGCCTTCCATCCAGGGCTGGAGTCCATAATTGCCTATGGCTAATAGAGGCCAATTCTGAGGACAATAGGATACTTGAGTCGTCAGACATGTTAAAGTATAACAAAATTCGTTAACTGCTAAGTCGTCTTTGATTTGAACTATATTATCTCTGGCGAACCTCAAGTGGTTTTGTTTTAACCTTCTAATTTCTTGGCCTACGGTGGTCGGAACCAACCCAATGCCGCTAGCAACAGCATTGGCTGTCTTCACGGAACTGTACTTCAAGGCTTTTAGTTTGAGGTCTGATCTGATTTCGTTTAACACAGTTCTCTGGATACAAGCATGGTAGTTAATTGTGGTTTGTTTTTAGCATGTTGACCCTTATTAAATATAAATGGTTACCTTTTCTGTTTTAGTTGTTGGAAAAATGTTCATTTGAAATGGGGAGTTATATTTTTGGATATGAATGTTAGGGGAAACATTTTTTTATGGGTACAATAACCTTAAGTCTCTATGGAGTGAACTTTTATGTAAAAGATATTCCCCTTTGGAGTTTGTGCTCTTAGCTTCTAACAAATCCTGGTGGTGCAGTCAAGTAAATGTAGCACTACTAACCTCAAGGTCAGCTGTTCAAACCCAACAGCTGCTTCAGAAAAGATCTGTATTTAGAGTCTTGGAAATCCTATATAGGGCTGCTTGATGGCAGTGGGTTTGGGGTGAGTTTTAGATTCTAGGCTATAGATTTCTCAGACTCATTTTTTTTGATTTAGCTTTCTTTGTATTTTGCTTTTAGCTTTGAGTAACAATTCATATATGTTGTCACTGAATTGGATTTTGTAGGAAGTCTATTTTCAGGGTAGAAATTTCATAGTTTCCTAAGGCCTGCTTGCCATCTTAGCCTATGCTCTATGGTGGACAGCAAGGGAATACTCATTGAGCGAGGGAACAGATTTCCTAGTCATGCGGAGGCAACTGGTGGCGGCTCCTTAGTACTCTCTCGACTGTGTGCCCTCTTGCTCCTTTCTCGTCCTTCTCCATTTCCTTTTCCACTGCACTTTCTTTTCCACTCTATATTAGAGGCCTGATAAAGTGCCCCTCACTGTCACTGTGAGCCGTTCCTACTAGTTGTCAGGAGAGACTGGGTCCCCGGAAAAGGGCAGCAGGCCAGAGGGGGAGTGAAGGAAAGAAAGGCCCTGCAGGAGAATTATTGACACTGTAGTTGTGACGATGGGCTCAGGCATAGGCACACTTGTGAGGATGGTACAGGGCCAGGCAGTGTTTTGTTCTGTTGTGCATAAAGTTGCTCTGGGTTGGAACCTACACAGCGGCACCCAACAACAACAACAACAGCAGCAGCAGCAACAACAACAACAACAACAACAACAACAACAACGTTTCGTGGTAAAGCCATTGCTCTCCCCAGTGCTAGGGCAAGTATTTAGTGTCCCAGAATAAATGGAGAAGGTATGAGGTGGCCTATTTTATTGCATAGATCTACTTGTACATCAAGGAGCCCTGGTAGCCTAGTGGGTTACACATTGGGCTGCTAACTACAAGGTCAGCAGCTTGAAACCAACTGTTCAAAAGAGAAAGATGAGGCTTTCTATGTCCATGAAGAATTCTAGCCTCAGAAACCCACAGGAGCAGTTCTACTTAGCCTTATAGGGGCACTATGAGTCAGAATCCATTGGCTGGCAGTGAGAGTGCGTGTGGATTTCTCCTTTATTTTTCAACCCAGGTTGTGAACTGCATATGACACTACATAAATTGGATTACACAGGCCATGTCTGAACATCGTTTGGAGAGTGGGTCCCTTCTGGGGTTTCCATGGGGGTTCTCAGCAGGACAGAAGAGGGAGGCAGGCACCCTGGCAGTCATAAAGTAGTTTTGACTCGTGGCCTTCACGGGTCCCTCTTGAATCAAGGGCCAGAAAACAGAAGGCTCTAGAGTTCTGCTGGGACTTGCTGATTGATGTTTGGTTCTTAACACAGTCTACATAAAGAAATTGGCATGTGTGATCACTGCTT